TGGGTAAGATTTAGGCTTCCTGGTTGCCCCCACTATGGTGGTCCTAAGGGCTGACAGGGGCCCTTCTGGGGCGAGGAGCACAGAGTGAGTTGCTCCAATACCAACCAAGAAGTCCACTAATTTCCCCCCCACGTTAAGTGTTACCCGGGGTTCTGGGGGTGCTCGGGAGCCCTGACGTCCTCAGTCTACCTCCTCCACAAGGAGGGGGGTTGCTCCTCTTGCTCCTGGTCTCTTGGGACACTCATTTTTCCAATGTCTGTATTCTTTGCAATAGGCACATTGGTCGCGGCCTAAGGGCTTTCTTTTCCCTTGGCTCTGTCTCTTGTCCCTTCCTCCCTTAGGCTTCTTAGTCCGGCCTCTCTCCTCCATGGCTACCAGGACCTTGGTCATCTTGTCAGTTAAAGCCTGGGTGGGGTCCTCTCGGTTCTCAAATACTCGCTGGGCGATGGCCACTAGCTCAGTGAGAGACTTCCGTCTGAACCCTTCTATTTTCTGTATTTTCTTCCTAATTTCGGGGGCTGACTGACCTACAAATTGGACTGCAAGGGCTGCCTGATTGTCCAGGGCATCTGGATCTATAGGAGTATAAGTACAGTAGGCTTCACAAAGCCTTTCCAGAAATGCCATGGGACTGTCGTTAGGCCCTTGTTTGGTCTCGATCACCTTAGACAAATTTATGGGCTTTTGGGCCGCTGCCCGGATTCCCCTTAACAGAACCTGGTGATAATGGTCTAGAGCCTCTTTCCCGAATACAGTATTCGGGTTCCAATTGGGCTGGGTGGGGGGAAACACTTCCGCAATCCTATCTTTGTCCGTGGTAGGCTCTCCACCGGCATCAGTAACCTGTTTCCTCCCCCCCTCTTGATTCTCTCCTTGGTGCTGAACAGAACAGTCAACAACTGCTGACAGTCATCCCACGTGGGCTGGTGGGTATAAAAGACTGGCTCCAATAAGGTTATCAGCCCCTGGGGGTTCTGGGAGAACGGGGGGTTCTGGTTTTTCCAGTTATACAAATCTGAGGTTGTGAAGGGAACATGGGTCAGGAGCTGTTGCCCAGTCGCACTAACTTCCCCCGTCTCTCTGAGAGGCAACTGGGTTACTGGGCAGTACGTGCCGAAGGAGGTTCCAGACCTGGTCTGGGACAGACTCAATGGCCCCTATTCCTCCCTCTCTGCCACTCCCACTGAGGTACTGTCGGGGCTTGGAGACCCCTTTTCCTCCCGCTTGCCCTCAAGAGAAGGGAAAAGGCTCTCTT